GTGGGGATGTTAATACCCACCCCGCCCCCGCCCCCGCCCGCGTCCTGCTTAATAATATAATTAAAAAATTATTTATATATATATAAACCAAAATTAGAAATATTTATATGTAAAAATTTATATTATTTTTCTTTTCTTTTATTTTTTAAAATTGTTCATATTTATTTAAAAGAAAAAAAGAAAAAAAAAGGAACGGGGACGAGGGCGGTGCGGGGAAACCCGAACCCTGCCGGGACGGGGATGAGGACCTAGATTTTACCTCCGGAAGATATCGGGGGCAGGGGCGGGGCAGGGACGGTTTAAATTTGCGGGGGTGGGGCGGGAAACGTAAAACACGCCCCTGCCCCGCCCCGAATACAACAAATGTTAACATATACATTTGAATACCCAAAATCATATTCAAATAAATGCAACCCCATTCTAATAAAACACACAAACAATTGAAACATTATACTAAAATTAGTTTTTGGTGGCAATTAATTTATTCATTAGCGGTCATATAAATGATCATTATTTTTTTTACTAGCATTTAAATAATGGCTGGTGTATCCAGGGTCGCTAATACTATTACCGACATTTATATAAAATAATAGTAAAGACCTACTAAATTATCGGAAAAACTTATTTTTTTAGTGACAATTTTAGTAGTTATTTTAAAGGCTATTAAAATTTATTTCTTTCAATTGTCTCATTTCCATTCATTTAGTGACTTTTATCTTTTGCTAGTAAAACTTTAAATAATTTATTCTTATAATTTCCTTTTCTAAATTCATAACTTATATTTTTTTTTATCTCTAGTTGATGTGAGATTTGTAAGATGAGGGTTGTCTTTTATTTATATATTTTTTAATTTATTTTTTTAATTGTCTTGTCTCTTAAGAGATGTGAGATTTATAAGGTGAAAGCTGTTCTCTAATTGTTTTATAGCACTATTGAACTTGGTAATAGTAAGTGATTTAATACCAATTTAGAATAGTGAATTAGGAATCTAACTCAACCTTATAAAATCAACTTATAAAGTGATAGTTATTACTCACTTATATACTATTTAATTATCTTATCTCTAATCGATGTGAGACTTAAGTTTTTTTCAATAAATAATTGTCACTAATAATAAACTCTAGTATAATATAAATACATTTTTAGTGACTATTATATATTAGTCATTATTAATATTTTTATTATATAATTAAATAACGACAATTAAAGTATTGTCATTAAATAATTATCGTTAGTAACAAATTTTATTGTAGTGAAAGTTCATTGAAATAAAAATAAATAATACGAATAAAAAAAATCATATTCAAATACAACACTTATGGTGACCCATATTCAAAGTTTTGATGGGGATAAAAGTGTAAGCTCCTTACTATTTTCACTCAATTTTGAAGAAAAAAAATTATAGACGTGAGATACATATCTGTAAACTTCTCATATGATATAATTCGTATGAATCAAACGAGTTAAAAAGTTTCACCTGTTTTATTTCTCTCATATATATTTCGTTGCTGTCATAGACAGTGTAAGAGTATAGAAATTAAATTCGATAGTCGATAATACTTATCGGAATGAAGTACCACCATATATTTATTCTTATTCCTGAATTCATATCTTTACCCTTTAATTCCCATTAGTTAAAAAAAAACTATAACTATAAAGATAATTACATTTTTAAACGCCATTCACTAAAATAAATTCATATTATAACGTTTTATAATTAGTTTTCAACAGTTGATTTAACAAAAATAAAATATTATTATAAATATTATAACTTTATTAACAGTGTGACAAATTATATGAATTTAGTTCGAATGTATTGATGTACTAATAATAATTACTTTTAAAAGTTGTATTTGGTTCATCTTAAAATAATTCAATCAGGTTACATTGACACATTGGAGTTCTTTTACAATCTTTTTTTTGGTTCGTTCCTGGAGTATCTACCGCCGATAGCAGTGACTAATCTCCTCGCTACGTTGGAGGCACCTCAAAGGGTGGGATAGCTGGCCTCAAGATTTAACGCGGCTGCATACACAAGACAGGATTTGAACCCCCTGACCTTGCTTAAGCGTGGATCAACCCCTACTGCTGAACCACACGCTTGGGGTTGAGTTCTTTTACAATCTTATTATTAATATTTAAATATAACTTTTGTCTTTATACTGTTATTTACTTATGATTTCTATAATAAAATTTATTATTGTTTCATCTTAAATTTTTATAAGGCTTAAAAAATAGTCTTTTATCTCAACTTCCATTTAAAAAAAATATTGCGTAAAAAATGAAATACATTTTATATTTTCACTTCATAATTATTATATAAGTAAATTGATTTTAATTTTTCTAGATAAGGTTTTAAAATTGCATTTCATCGCACCCAAACCATTAATCTCGTGATTGTACTTTCCCGTTTTTATCTAAATTTGACGTACTACAAACTCTAAACCTTTCTAAACTCCAAAACTTTCTTTGAGGAGCAATTTCTCATAATTCATTATCTTAACAATGATGTTGAGTTTGTCCTCAATGATCACCACTTCTGCGAGATAGCCATCACCACTCAACATGGAGGAGTTCAACCTCACTCTTGACTACTCTTCCATTATGCAAGAGTTCATGCATCATCAGAGCATTCATCACTCTATGGTGTCATCACCAATGTTGCTTCCTCCAGGGCCAAGGAGAATATATTGTGTTAGTTGGCTCAGTTCAAGATCATCAAGATTTTTGCTATCTATTGTGATCGTCACAATAATGATGAGCGAGACACCTCGACAGAGAAGGGAGGTTGGTAGTCTAACTTCGCCACTAATAATAACTAAGATGCGATGTTTCACGATTCGAAGAGAGTAAATGTGAAAAGTATGATAAAATGACAACAGAGAAACATTTTAAATTTTATCTAAAATATTTAAAAGAAACTATCTTTAAAACGTTATAAAAGATTAGAAATAAAATAGTAAAAAAATTACATACTAAAAGTTAAAAAATGATAAATTATGAGAAAAAAATCATATTTAAACCTATTATTAATCATAAATAATCTTCTAAAAAAATCATGAATGTTGAATCCATGAGATTAGAATATTATACACAGTATTATATTCAAACATGTTGCTGTGTTTGTAATTGAGGTAAATAAAAAATGTTAATCGTAAATTGTTAACCATAAAGTGAGTTTTGTAATAATTACTTTATAAAAGGCACATATACGTAGGGTGGTATAATTGGCTTATAATATTCTTTTAACGATTATCAAAATCAATTTCATATTAAAATTTAATATATCACGTGTGTATCATATTATAAATTTAATTTTCATATATTAAATGTGTAAAGAGTTTTTCATTCTTAACCTACTGAAAGTCATCTGAATATAATTTTTTAAATTATTATTATAAAAATTAATATTAAAAATCTTACTAAGACACTTTTAATAAAATCACACGAACTAATATAAGTAATTACTCTTTTTATTTATAATTAAATTTTAATAAAAGAGGTAAAAATATTATTTCATATAAAAACTTATGTGTGAATACCAATAAAAATTAATAAATGATAATTCACTAGTTTAAGAGGTTAAGGAGTGAATATTTATTTTTATCAATTTTTTTTATTATCTAACAATAAAAAAACATATATCCTCGCAGTATTTAATAGAAGTAGAAGATGAAAAATAAATTTAATGTTATGATAATATTTAAGTATCTTATAAAAGACATTTTTTTTCAACCGTCCCTTATAATAAAGACCAGAAAGAGTATAACATTTTATAATCAGATAATACCTTCATTATATTTTAATTAAATTTTTATAGTATTATTAATATGATGCATGGGATTATTTTTTCACCCAAAAAAATACTACGAGTGTTCAAGAGTACATGTATCCATGAATCTAAATCTAGGTTGAGTATTGGACACAATTCAATCAAACTGGTCTTTTAGGCTTAGGTTGAGTATTGGATTTTAATGTTTAAAACATAACCCAACTAATTGACATATTTTAAAATTTAGTTTATTTACATCATACTATAATAAAGTTAAAATTGACTACTTAAAACACACGACACCACTACACGTACTCACAAGTCACTATACTATGTTTCAGTTTCATTAATCAATCTCACTCTTTTTCTAATCTAGATTTTTTAATTCTCTGCATTTCTTGACCTAACTCATTGATTGTTCACACAACTTAATATAGGCGGATTGCTTATTATATTAGACTATGTTGTAATATAATGATACAATTTTATGTTGGTTGACCAGGTAATATTGTCAAATTATATTTAACATAGGTAATTGCTCATTAATTACATTGGTAATGTTTATTAAATGGGTTGTTTGATTTCTCATAAAGTTTAAAAATAAAAAATAAAAATAAAAAAATAAAAAGAGAGAGAGAAAGTAACAGATATATGGTATAAAATGTGAAGTTACACACTTACACTACTACCAAAATAATATCAGTAAGGATTTTCATTACTTGCACAAGTCAAATACAATATTGACAGCTCCATGTGGATTTCGGGCAATCAAAGTTTGATTACACCATGTATGATTGAACGTAACATACCTTCAACATCTCTCTTCATCTCTTCCCCCTCTATTTACATACGTGACATTCTAGATCAGTGATGACTAGAAACCACAAAAGTACCTACCAAACCCTGCTTATCTTACCCAAAACTAGCAAGGTATACAACTCACCAAATGCTCCATTCAAAATAATTTTGTAATATAAGTGGATCAGTCTCATCAGCAGTGGACCAAGAACAACATAAGAACAATCCCTGGAAAGATATGCCATCAACATCAACAGTCTATGCGTAATCGCCGCAATTCAGATTTGAATGGTAGGATAGTATTGAGAGTCCGGCGAGCAAGATTCCTTATGTCCTCTCGCGTACAATCCCTTGAAATTCGGACAAGCTCCCAAAGGGCACCTCCACTGATCATGTCTTTTGCATTCACTTCTGCAATTTTTATAACCTAATTGTTTGAGTTTTTGCAACAATGTACTTGTTTATGAAAAACTTGAAACATGACAAGGAGTGTAATTACCATGCTGTGCCATGTGGCAAAGTGCAAGTTCAGTGTGACGCCTTATTGGTACAGCTTCATTGTTAGCATTCTGTACTATCCATGGAAGTGCACCATCTTCTATCAAAAAGGATCTACCACTTTTCATCCCTGTGAATGCAAGATATAAACACTTTGGTGCTAGAAATATATGGTACTTCTAAAAGTGGGAGGCAGCAGAGTGGAGGGAATTGCTGGCGATGACTTTTACAGAAATTATAAACAAAAGCGTGCCAATACTGGCCTTGCAGACGTTAAGCAACAACTATGTCCATTTTCAATGACTCAACAATCCTCCTCCAACATAACACTTCCACCATTGGCAATCAAATATTGACAAGAAAGCAAACCTTGACTAGAAGCTCGAGATTCGCATTTGGCAAAGTTGGCAATTCCTCGTGCAACTTGTGAAAGAACATCAGGATGTCCACATCTTACAATTCCCAATAAAGCCTTAATACCTCCCTGGGATCTCAACTTCATCAATATTTTATCTGGACCAAGAACACAAATATAAAATGGTGAACAATTGACATCCAATAATGGGAATATGAAGATTATAACCTCCAATGAAAAAAAAATTTACAAATGAAAGCACATTTTTTCAGTACACCTTGTGGGGATGGTAGCTATCATACATAATTTTAAAAACCGGACCGGTCATCGAACTGGTTAAGATACTGGGTCAGTGGGTTAAAGATTGAACCAATGGATCACTAGTTAAACCACATGACTTGATTTTTATTTATTTTTATTAAAAATATTCATATTAAATATATTTTATACTTATAAATTTTTATTTTATATAAAGAAATACATAAAAAAATTATATGTTAAATTGTATATTAATACAAATTAAAAATATAAATAATATGTATATATATAATATGCTTGCAATTGATATCACAAAATAACATATGTAATATCTACATAGATATTATATTATTAAATATATAATTTAAAATTAATAATATACTATAAAAGTTATTTAAGTTGTATATATTATAAATAAATACATTAGAACAAGTAGTCATTGTTATATTTAATAATAATCTTTGTTTTTCCATTAAAAAATTCAATTTTCATTATTATTTTTGTGGTTTATGGTCCTTTAAAAAAATTTTAAAAAAATATATAAAAAAAAGTGGTTGAACCCACTGGTTCACCGATTGAACCGGAAAATTGACCGGTTCAATCCGGTTTGAAACGGGTCGATTGCATAACCAATCCAACTTAAGATTCAGATCGGCTGGACCACTGGTTCCCGGTCCAACCGGTCCGACCGGCCGGTTCGATCCAGATTTTTAAACACTGCTATCATATGCACGAGTATTTAATGTACATTAAAAAAAATCACGGTTCTCTCACTTTAAGAAGCTTTACTGTCTACAGAGAAACACCAGAATGCAGAATAATAAATGACATGAAGCCATCACCCATAATTATCAATAGTATCAATTAGGGCGCGGAGCACCCAACCCAAAAAATGCTACAGTGGGATGGCTTTTATAAACGAGAACTATAAATAGAAGCCAGTAATCAATTTAGTGCACTATATATCTATATACATGCATATATATATATATATATGCAGCTTCCTTATACATTTTTTGAAGGAAAAAATATTATTTCCCAATAAATAATAATCCCAAGCAAACATGCTTTTATGCTATACATATATGAGAATTCATCCCTCTGGACAAATAGATTACATGATGCAGCATCTACATTTGGTCGATTCCACTGGCATGAATGTGAAGTAGAAAGAATATTACCATGTTTACAAAATATTATCAGATTATGGAATGTAAATCATTCGGCATTAGTACGAAATTATGGCATTACGATTGAACTAAATATTAATTCATCACCAACTTGATATGTCGTTAAGTATTTGTTGCAATGTATATTTGGAAGGTAAAATATATATTCAGAGATTCAGCAATATGAATTACTAGAAAACAAGTAAATGTACCATTTCCACATAGGTTAGCTATGGCACCAGCAACCATTCGAAGAGTTTGTGGTTCTTCAGCATCTGATGCAGTCATTGACAACAGAGTGATTCCCCCTTCAGCCATTATAAGTTCTTGATTGGCTTCTGAATATCATGAAAGAAAGCAAAGTAATAACAAAACTAATTAGCTAAAGAAAAGAAAAACACTAATGACTACTAATAATAACAAACTAGGAAATAAAATCCAGCTAACTAGAACATTTATTAAAAAAATGACTGCTAATCAATAAAAATCACCATTCATGGCAAGATTGGCAATTGCCCCTGCTGCTACTCTGTGAACAGTTTCATCCTCATATCTTCTAAGAAGCATCAGCAAGGAAGTAAGAGCACCAGCTTCAACAATACTTTTTTGATTCACCTCTGCATATTATATTGAAACAAATTCAACAAAATCTTCATATACTACCATACCAAGAAGGAGGAATATAGTATGGTGGGCAGGGTCCAATCCAAAAACTTAAGTATGACCGCACTTCAACAACATTCATCCCCCCACAACAGACCAATTGTTTATACAGACCAATAAGATTTTTTTATTATTAAGAAATAGGAGAAGGGAAGACCAAAACTTTTAAATTAAAGGGCAATATCTACTGTGAAAATAATTTTTTCCAGAAGTCATGAAGACAATCTTAGACTCTTGACATATAACAATATTAAAAGGCACACTACTCAACAAGAAGCAAGTCCAGAGAAGAAAAATATTTGACATTCTCATGAATTGTAGTTAAGAAACTTATCAAGAACCATTCATCCTAAAAGATAAATATGTTAGTGGGACCATGAATATATTTGACTTTTGATTTATATTTTTAATCAAAACAGAATGACAATCCATATCCATATCCATATTCTTAACATTGCAAGACTATTGCCCTTGATGCTAGTATAAGAAAAACCATAGAACAGCATTCAGGACTGGAAAATTGATCATTGTAAATTATTGATACAAACTAGAACAAATGTGCAAAACTAGGGAGAAATTTTTAAAGCTTGTTCTGAACAAAACAATGATGTAGTCTTGCAGAAGGATGACCATTCTGATTTTTGCATGAATTTCACTCCTTCCAAGACTTTGTTACGTATGACACAGACAAATGCAACAAAAACAAGAATTAAAAAAAATCAGGAAATTACTCCTCTTGTAGCCACTACCACCTATCACTAAATTATCAGCATTGCCATCACCACAATGTGCTTCTTTCTGAAGATTTTGCAAGCCAAACATCAGGAAACAAGTAGCACAAAGCAGAAGATAAAATAACAGCCCTAAGTAGAGAATAGCAACAACCTTCCGCCGCAAGGTTGGCCACCACTTTAACAGCATGAATCCGAACATTGGGATCATCTGACTCCAGGAACGACAAAATCTTTTGCAATCCAACTGTCAAAATAACATGAGTCACACACACATGGAAGATGTCAAGGTTCAATTATAATTCAACCAACTTGCACCTTGCTCAAAGAGTGCAGCAACAGATGCCTTCTGTCCATTCCCAGTCTCTTTGAGTTGAGAATGCCTAACATGAGACATTGAAGAATCCATGGCAGAGGATGCATTTACAGAGCTTTCACTTCCCAAACATCTTCTCATCTATGACCATAACATTATTCATATTCACCAAAATTATTAAATAATACAAGCCATTGTCTAGCAAAAGAAAAAAAAAAAAGGTATACGCAGCTAGATGCTACAGTACAGAGACGTGAAAACTTGAACCACAACAATCATTACAGTTTCAATGTGCCAACAATACTTCCCACCTTGACGATACTTTTCTTAAGAACTTTACGTTGTAACTTGTAAATATTTGTCACCAATTCACAATGTCACTAAGAAACTAGGTTCTAGTGCTCTAATATTATTTTCTGGTAGACTCTAAAATATAGAACGCCTAATCTGAACTCTAAAGCAGTTCATTGGGAGTTTGTGACTATTTGGCTCGAGAAATGCACAAGTTTCACGGATGTCTTTTCCCTTTCATTTTCATGACCTCTATTCAATAGGGGTGGTCATGGATCTGGATCAATCCGAAAATATAATGAATATGAACCAAGCCAAACCGAAAAATTTGGATTAGTTTGATCATTAGTTCATTTTGGATTAAACTTTTCATTCATTCTTAATGTTATAACACTTCAATCAATACTCCACAATTTACGTAATAATGAATATAATATTAATTAAATTTTAACTTTTAATAATTTAATTTTAATTTTTTAAATAATAAATCCAATGATCCATCCAAACTAATCCAATTATAGTTGGATTGATTTGGTTTGGATTGCAAAAAAATTTCAGAGAATTCCAATCCAAACCGATCTTTCTATTTGGTGCCCTAATCATTATAGTTTCAAGGGAATTTTCATTACTGGGATGCAACAATATTGTTTAGCTTTTGTGCAGTTCCAACTAACTTCATTTTACAATAAAGGATTTATTATGCTCTCCCAATTGTACTTTCACTACTTTCCTTTTAATAACTTTTTTCTTGCATAAATAAATAATTGTCTTTAAATCCAGTAGGTGCTTCGAATTACAATGCATTCAAATATATGTGAACTCACAAATTTCTAATCTATCAATCACACTCCAAGCTAGTGCTTATAACTCAAGCATATGCCGTATACCAAGTTAAAGTTATAGAATACCTGCTCAGCTTCAAAGTTCAATTGCAACAATTGACTTCTTAATATTATTATTTCTTCTTCAAGTTTCTTTTTCTGATTAGTTTCATCCCCCAGAACGCTGTGAACCTTTATAACCTCTGCATCCCCTCCTGCCTAGTACACAAAATTTCCCAATATTCAAAAAATCAACGCTTGAAAAATAAGAAGCCAGAGAAGTTTGTCATTTAATTGAAATATACCTCTCTCTGTGTGTGTTTCCCCATTAGATATTTTAGATGTTCTACCTCTGCTTCCACTGCCTTTCTCCTATTGCATTCATTTTCAAACAGCATTTTGATCTCAACAACTTCATCCACAGAAGATTGTCTTGGGCCCTGTGCCAACAAATATGTAACATCAGGACCACTGAACACTGAAGATTTAATTAAAATATTATATTTAGCACAAACCATGAAGATTGAAGCAAACACAAGGGCAGGCAAGTAGGGAAATCATAAAATAGGAGATGAAAGATAGAGATAGACATGTACAAAGAACCACAGTGAAACGATTCAATTCTCATCTTTAGGGAATTTGAAGTCAGAAAGTTGAAAATGTATTAGTAACAGTATGTGTATGTTAGACTGACTGCCTCACATTTGAAAAACAGGCAGGTTAAGGGTTACACTTACAGGCTAAGTATCACTAGAATGCAGGGTAGGAGGAAGTGCAAATTGCCAAATTGCAACAAGAGTGCACCACAATACTCAACTGATATTTTCAGACATTCTACTTTACTGATCCAATGAAATGGGTGAAAAAAAATGCTTATGGAATATGAAGTAAGAGTAGTCTAACATTAGATAAACCATTCATTTGCAGATTCTACCTAATAACTCAAACTTTTGGGTAATTGGTTATTGGTCTTCATGCCAAAAAGGCTCTTGTATGAGAAAACATGATAATTAGTAAAGTTGATCCACAGATTAAAAAGGGTAAATACTTTATCTTCAAAAACAAACTTTTCACAATAACAAGTGCACACATTATAAAGAGTGAATAATAGATTGATGGATCTTGAAAAATGGCCCCATATAACAATATCTCAATATCCATCAGTGATAAAAAAAAATAATAAATAAAAAATAAATAAAAACAGTAAGATTTCAAGGTTTCCAGAAAAGTTAATATTGTTTGAAACGGAATACCTCTCTACAACCATCCACAAAACAATTGTTGCCATGTCTTTCCTCATTTGACACCAACTTCTGTTCCAGCTGCTTAACTGACTCCATGTACTCCATCTGGCATTTCAATCTCTCTTTCTACATGAAACAAATTAATGAGACATTATGCAAATGTTAAAGAGGATGTTAAAAATAAAAGGTCTTAAGAATTAGCAGACCCTTAGATTCCCTAAATCCACCATGTCTAATCACTGCCCCAGAAGTACAATGTAGTTCTTGAACTATACAAAACTATAACTTTTGTAATTTGGAACTTGTTGCAACCACACCCACATTGCAAACCAGTGGCTTAGAAAATGTGTTTCCAAGGGATTAATGTCAAAGAACCTTCACTCTACCTCCATCTTTCTAGTTTATCTTCTTCCAATTAAATTCCCTATTTTAATCTGGCAGGAACCCTAATCTGTGGTACAAATTATGTTAATTTCTATATAACCTCAGAATTGCTGTTTTTAGTTCCTGTTCACAGCCCAGAAGGCAAGGAAAAGACCCTAATTTAATTATAAAAGGCGTAAGTGTGAAGGTCCTGAATTACATAGGGTATGTCTTAAAGCTTTTTAAAAAAATGATCTTAAGAATATATTTTTCAGAGATTTTATGATAAGCTAAACTTGTATGTTGTTCAGTTACAATTATACAATTTTTTTTTAAAAGGTAGTTATACCACTGGCAGTTTTCTAAAAGGTACTTAAAAACAATGCAAAATAATCAGAAATCTGATTTTTTTTTTCAGATTCTGATTAATTTCAGAAGGTTAAACATACACACTAAAAATGAAAAGTGTTATTTTTTTCAATATAAAAGTTCTTTTTTATAAATTAAAAAAAAAAAAAGGCTGAAACAAATGTATACTTTGAGAACAATTGTAAAGCATTTCAAAACTGGAAGATTATATTTTTAAAAACAGTAGTGTGCTCTAATTAGTGCTACTTTTCTATAGAAAATACAGCAAACCTCTAATGCATCTGCAAATTTTCTCTCAACCTCGGATATACGACATTGTGCCTCCAAATTTATTCTTTCAATTTCATCCTCAAAAGCCTTCTGCTGCCTTTCATTTTCTGCAATAAGGTTATCTAATTGTACCTCAAGCCTCCGAGACAGACTTTTATAATCAAACTCCTCCTTTATTTTCAGCATGTTCTCAACTTTCATAGCCTGAGACATAAATATACATCAAACCATCTTTCATCCAAAGCCAACTATATGAATTCCCAACAAAGCTTTTCATTCATAATCATAATAATTAGACATATGACAAGTCAATCATAAAATATTATGAAATGAATTAACTAAGATACTTCAAATTGTTAGGGGTAAATGAACTAGACAGTGGGCAGAAAATCCAAATAAAGATACTAGCAAGAGTATATTAATGCATGGCACAAGGAGGTGGGAAAATCTAAGACTGTCAAATAAAATTAATGCACTAATAATAATTTGCAAATGAGAACTCCACTATTGGGTTGAGAAAACAACTTCTCAAAATATTTTTCAACATTGACAAGTGACAACAAAACTACTTCAAAGTTTAAACCTTGAAAGTTATATGATGAAAGGAATTTAAAGGTGTACTAACTTTGATAAGGGGCTTAATAATGTCTTGGTTTCCATAAATATATCCCTTTTTATTGTAGACGCTCTTTAATTTGAATTTTGGTTTGTATTCCGTACTTTTTAAGTTACCTCGTTTAGTCCTTGTCAATATCATAGATCTGCTAACTGTTGACATGCCAAACCAACTCTCAAACCCAGTTTGCTATGATCCACCTGGGATTAAAATTTCCCATGTAGGAGTGACATAAATGCCGTATGATGCATCCCACAGTAACGAAGTGATCAAAACCCTCTATTTCCCCTTCACTTCCCAAGTCCCAACATCCAATTTTCTTCCTTTTTCTACTGCCACCAACAACTATAATTTTTAGATTCTCCTTACCCATTTTGTGGCACTATAAATCAGATGAAAATAATATATTGGCCTAGTATGGTTGCTGCTTTGAGTTTTGAAAGGAGTAGAGGTTTTCCAGTGACAACGCAAGGAGGTGAGAATTTTAAGGATGATCACATGTCATAATGAGCTGGTTTAATGAGTGGGTCCCATGTGATAACTCAAAAAGGTCGTTAGATGAAAATAAAGCATGGATCACGTAAAAGATCAATTTACCTTGTATTAAAAATTTAAAATAGCCAAGCCTTACCACTTGGTCATAGAGGATTTGATACCAAATCAACGAATACAACCAACTGTTCTAAAAACTTCAGGTGTTAGGTGGAAGCTCGGTAAGGATTTTATATCCAACATACTGTATGGATAGAAATTATACATAAAATACAGACATTCATAGTAAAGAAAACTGACCCTTTGGCCAAACAATACAGTACTAGAAGTCTCTCCTCGATGACGTGGAGATGGGCCAATAGTAACAATCAATGAAGTTCTTGCTGTTCCTGCAAATGATTGGAAAACATAAAACACAATATAGAATGATATAACCAAAACTAATGCAGGTTCCAACAAATAGAAATAACATTGAAGAAGAATAACAAGAAGTGCATAGACTCGTAATGATATGGTATTATGGTAATCATATAACAATGTAGAAACCAGTTTTCTAAACCATAAATCACATCTTATTAAAGTATTTCATCACATGATGTTGAAGTATTAAAGGCTAATAGCATGATATTGTACAAACTGATTAAAGTAACTTACCTCCAAAGGAATCTCTGAGCAACCTAGTAAGCTTTGAATCACGAAATGGAACATGAGCATTGTTTTCTGCTAGTGCATTAATACATTTTCCCAATGCACTAAGTGAAAGATTGATGGATTTAGCTTCCTCTAGCATGTGCCCTTCACTTCCTGGTGAGAAAATAATAGAGGCAAAGTTTAATATTTATAATAATATGCATGTAAATTTGTGTGCACACACACAAAACTTAAGTTCAGTTTCAGTATAAACCTGACTTATGGATACGCTCTGATCCTGCCAAATCTACCACAACCAACTTGCTCTTTCGAATGACTGGTTTTGAAAGTTTAGTCAAGCGAGAGGCATCATTATTTTCAGTGGAAACAACATCTTCACTATCCACAACAGACCTCTTAACATGTACCTGTGTGAGAATAGCTATTTGGTCAAGACAGGATAATTTTTTATGAAATGAAAAGGCTAATTGGATATCTGGGTTAATGACATGGAAAATAATTAAAAGTAAACAAAACATAGTTCATTTATTCACCATCAGTATAGCATGACTACGAGAAGATTCAGCATTCAACTTTGTGTTGGCAGCAATTCGATGGGCTTCCCCTACTCTTAGCAACTCCAAGAAACTTTGCTGATCCTTGATTTCCACAAGAGTAGCCCCAAGCAAAGACACATCACCAGTTTTTGGATCTTCCACAATGGGAATATTATCATTTGCTGGATTAAGCAAGTCCTGGAGAGTCTCCATGTAAAGCTACACAATTTGGAGAAGACATTTCAGCAAAAAGTTAAAAAAAAATAGCCTGGAAAAATGACAAAACACAGAACACTAGCACGACCAAACCATAGAGGGCACAACATTAATGGCTATATTATATACGTGAAACATGATGCAAGACAAGAAGTATGACAAACAATGCATATGATACGAAATGCAGTAACAGACACATAAAAATATGCAACCTGTAGATATGACACAGTGACAGAATCAGTTTCTGTAGATGTGTTGGCTAAGATATCCTCCATGGAACGAACCATGATACCACGATCAGAGATATCTTCCTCCCCCAATTGTCCAAGAGTAAAAGTTTTGCCCGTTCCAGTTTGACCATAAGCCATCACAGTTCCATTGTAACCATCGAGAACACTCTATAAACAGATATCAAAAGACATGTTAAGTCATAGACATTTAAATACATGATAATCCTTTGATGAAGACAGAGCATTACTGCTAAAAGTAATATTTATCTAATCAAATCATAAATGACAGTAAGTAAAGTTTGACCATTGATGGTTAAGAAAAGGATATTCTTGACCAATGACCAATCAGGAATTGCATTGATACAAACCTCAACAACTGGCTTAGCTACAACTTCATATACACGCTTCTGGGATGCAAATTCAGTAAGCACTTCATCAAACTCATAAGTATCTGAATCCCAATTGTTTCTCCGGAGTTTCAGTCTTTTAAGCTGAAAGAGATTTAAGAAAACAAGGGAGAAATCTTAAAGCAATGCTTATGCATAAAAAGGTCCAAAAAATATATGTATAATTAAACTAAAATGCAGAGTCTACAGACAAATGACCAAAATGCACCTCGGGCTGTAATTCAACACAGTCAGCAAAATCAGCATCAGCCATCCTTTCTTCAGTATTTCGAGGTCTCAACCTTACAGCCACTCGAACTCTTCCAGGCACTATACACAAGCATGACGAGAAAACATACGAAGTATAAGGACCAAGGTTGTCAAACTCGTGATGTGAGTTTACGTAAACTCATGCAGCTTCCATAGACTCAACTCAAACTATTAGGAGTTTACTTGATATAAAGTAATATTATAAAAAAACCTATTAGTGACATATATGCATAGCATAATACTCTTAACACAACAATAATTCAACATTTCAACCCCCAATAAAGCAAAGTAGCAAACCACAATAATAAAGTGTGACCAAATCATACATAAATCCATAGAAATATAAGTTCTTAAACTGAAAACATTTCAAAAAAGAGCTAATTTCTTCACATGATTCCTTAGTAAAATATTATATTTACATTAACTCAAAAAATAATGCATGAGCAGCATAAAACACTATCACTCTGATTAATGGAGAATAAAAAATACATTTGATTTACAGACTTTACCTAAATTTATCTAGAAAAGAACTGACGAGTTAAATAGTTTTCTCTACCTAAAATTGAAAAATCATAAGAGTCTATGAGTTAACTAAAGAGTTTGAAAACATTGATAAGGACAGTGCAAGAAAACCAACAGCAATAAGTGCCCTTACACCCTATGTAGCCTTTTCGCTGTCATCATCAGCTCCAAAATCTTATGTAATCAATAATAAATATCAATTTGCAATAGAAACCAAGTGGCGCATGAGCATGAAACACATATCGGTCTGGTGGTAGACACAGAATGCGTATTTAAGTAGAAGCACTACTCTGAACCCTCTCATTATCCTGGCTTCTACAATGAGTTCTCAACTACACGATGTACTTCTCTGATCTTAATGACCAGAAAATTAAATCCTCATAAACACAAGATATAATACACATTCATCTTTAATTACAAAACATCCATCTATAACGCTACACCAAGGCCTTCTCTCCATAAAATAAAGATACGGCTAGTATAATTAAGATCCGAATTTGAATTTAATAACACAATTTGCAAGCAAGAGACACAGAGTTCCAATTCCAAAATCTCCGTAATTTCAAAATTTAACCTCCATTTTCCAATCCGATCCAAATGTTGAAGCAACAACACGTCAAAATTCAGACATCGCACAGAATTGTTCACTACAAACTATACCTCATCACTAAATAAGAAATCAGAACAACACACAATCCATCAATAACTATACATCACCAGTCATCACTGTTATTCACGATTCACGTTACATCATAGACTCCTACTAACACGTTTAGAATCGCGAAACACATTGTCCACAGGAAAAGCAACAAAAGCAAACATCACACACACAACACAACACCAAAAGCAGAGAACAATAACCAGAGAAATTCAAAATCAGTTGAAGACTAGAAGCTGAAACAAAAACTCGCAGTCATTCTCAAGTACATTGCCTCTACCTGTAGCTCTCTCTTCTTCTGCGTGCGAAACAGAAACTAACTAACTTTTAGCTAACTAACTAACCTCCGTCTCCGGTTGTGGCGGCGGCGGAGCGGCGGAGGGCGGATCCCGGCGAGTGAGGGAGGCGAGGCTTGAGCGACGGCGTTCGGAGGTGGTTTGGACGGTCGAACTTGACGGCGGTTCCTCTCTGAGCGAGAGCGACGCCGTTTCGGTAAGCCATGGCAGCGGTTGTGGAAAATTCAAATGGCAGTGTTGGTGTTTGTGACGGTGCTTTTGAAGCATTTCATTTGGTTTCGTAGTTCAAAAAGCAACGATAAATTTTTTATAAAAATAAAAAAATAATAATAAAAAGGTGAGTGAGGGATGCGCAGAAAACGTGTCCGTAAGTGTCGAGTGAGGAGGGAGGATGAGGAGACTGGGTGGGCCATACAAGGATAAAGGGTGCGAAAATGACTGTACCACCATTTCGGTCACGTATTCCATATTTTCAGTGAAACTCATGCAAAATTTTATTTATCGGTGCAAATTATGCTTTTGTTCCACTTTGTACGATTACAAGTTTATTTATGAGAACAAATTATGCTCTTGTCCAAATTTGTACGATTTGGAGTGATTATTGTTATTAAGATAAATGCTTAGTTTGCTTTTTGAATTTAAAGATGTTATCATCATGACACTGATACAATGTTAAATAAAGTCCATGACCTCTAGTTTGATAAATTTATCAACAAATACTCCCGAGAAGAAAAAATATAATTTGAAAGAATTTAGGAGTAATTTATTTATATTTATCTTATAAAATAAGTGCTTATAAGAGTATTTTTTAATAAATTTTTGTATAAATCAAATAATAATACTATTTGGACAAATTTATAAAATAAATTATTAAAATATAAAAAAAAATGGTTCATTATCAAGATAAATACTAAATAAATAAATATTTTTTTATCTGTATTCACAAGTGTTAGAATTTGAACCCTTGATTATGAATCACAAAAGTCGAATCCTAACCACTTAATTAAGTAATGTGAATCTCATATTATTCACACCAACCCAAATTAATCTAATAACTTATAAAATAAACTTATATTCAAATTTTGTAACCAACATAAATATTATTTATTTTTAACATTTTATTAAAAATTAATTCTATATTTTATTTTATTACTCACTGCTCGTTATTAGTTTTTCTTTTTATTCTCTCTCTTTCTTTTCTAAAATAAAAATCTGAAGTCTATGTGTTAAAGGTATAAACATTTTTCTATCATGAGTTTTTTTTACTGTTTTACATAATTTTTATTAAAAAATCAAAAATTCAAATACTCAAATCCTTTTATTTATTTTTATTGTTTTCCTAATCATGATTTTTATGAAATTGATTTTTAATTTTAAAATTTATGATTCTTAAATATTAATCATAATTATATATATAATTAATCTCTCATATTTTATTATTAATTTTATTTTTGTAAAATTAAAATGAAGTGAATGAAGACTTATATTTTTTATTATTATTTTTAAAAGTATTGTGATGCATACTATCATTTTTAAAAATTATTTAGTCACTTTTTAAATTTTTATTTTATTTTTAGTCAAGATTTAATTTGTAACTTTTTAACTCTTAAAATAAGACAAAATCTTATAAACGTTTAAATAATAATAATAATAATTTTAAATATTTTAAAATTATATAAATATTTATTAACATGTATATCTTAATACAACAACTAACTGAATTTTAGACACTTATAACAAAAAAATTCTTATGTACATAAGAATTTATTAAATAATATTTTTAATTAATTTTAGTTGATAAGATCTTATGAAAATATGAGGAAGAAAAAATAGGTTAGGAATATGAGTGCGTGGCTTAACTCTTAACTCTTAAGTGTTGTGTGATTCTGATGAAAGTAGTGGGTGAGGCACTGAATGGGAAATAATAGAGTTCCTTGGAAGTAAAGGAATTGAGTGACCAGTCAACCGCCTCTATTGAATTTTGGTGGGTCATGTTGTCGCTCCTGCCTTAAATTAACCATGCAAACACACAGGTACCCTGCAATCAATTCAAAATAATGTGTCCTATCATAAAACAAAAAACCTTTTTTATGTCTTCTATATTTAAAATTATTAATTATCCCATCTACTTTATTTTCTGTAGTCTTTATAATTAAAATTGTTTTTTCTCTCTCTTCATAGTTTATGAAATTATAAGGAATAAAAGAGAAAGAAAAAAACGGTGGAATAATTAGAAAAGAAAAAAAAATGAGAAGGGTGATATAAAGATCCGAAATGGCAAACGGTGGAAGCTTCCACCTTCGATAGTTCAGAGCTTCAATTTAGACAGTGTCTATGAAAGGGAAGGATACTTCGGGAAAGAGGGGAAGAAAAACTTAAATTTATCAGTCAACTTATAATTTATATAATTAACTTCCTTTTTAATTACAACTCATTAAAATTTAAAAGAAACTTTAAAATATAATTATGACTTAATAATAATATAAGGAGTGGATAATTTAAACTTTCATTGATTATAAATTGAATTTTTTATTATTATTTTGTAAGGTGGAATAATTTTTATTTATGAAAACTTAAGTTGTAATTACTTTTTTTTTTAAGAGTATACCTTATAGTCTTGCTAAGCTTATAGAATAAGTTCTATTTTGTTTTTTCAAAAAATAATTAAATAATTATTTTATCTAAAATTTATTAATAAATTAAAATTTTGAAATGTATTGGATTAAAAAATTTTGACTTTTGATTCGTGTAATTTGAACTAACTAGTTGAATCAAGTTATTTACGAGTTTGAATTGAGTTGTGATTGAGTTGGAAAAAAAAAGGTTCATGTCAAATTCGAATCAAACTATAAATTAAGTTAAAAATTATCAAATCAGGTTAATTCGAGCTAAATTGAACTCGACTAAATTCAATTCATTTTTATTCTTGATTGGAGTGTAATCTTAGTGTTTATCTTGATGGATCATGATACAATTCAAATAACTCGTAGAGCTGATTCAAATATGTTATCATACAATTTTATGTATGTCTTTATCGATTGTGGTGGAATTATGGTAAATTTAAATTTGAATCCTCTTCATTTCTTGTCTATTTCTATAGTTTTGATTGTCTAAATAATATTAAATATTAATCTTATTTTAATTTTATTTTTATTTTTATTTTTAATCCTAAACTTTTCTCCCGGTTAATATTTTAGGTGTCCAGCATTAAAAATTTTGTGTATAGAAGATGATTTTAGGGAATAAAACAAAATGAAATTTGTTGAAGAAATTTAGTCCTTTAAATTAATTAAATTTGGTTTACATAGTATATCATTATATGACCTTGGCTCAAATTGGTGATTCATCATCATAAGTCATAACCCCACGACACGAGACCCTATTTTAGAGTTCTTGCTCTTCATTTTACCACGACCGATCCCAAATATCGTTTTCCGGAACTGTACTAGGTTCGGAGCTGCGTTCAGCGATGACTATGTTGAGACAACTTGGTTCTCGGTTTTTTGGCACCGTTGCCGGCAATGTCAACAACAGATCAAATCTATTAATCCAAATTTTGGTTAGTTTGATCATCTTAATGTTTCTTATGTACCGGAAGGTTCCACAGGCAACTGTAACGCTTAATTTGTATCTAACTTACCAAATTTATGTTCAAGGAGAAATTACAAAATGTTAGTTCCTATTTTAGTGTATTGAAAAGAGAGAATTTTGATTTGCAAATGTATAAATGGATATTTAAACATGCACCGTATGGTTTCATTCTCCTCCTAAGTAGTTCTATATTTTTCATTTGATATAATTTATTTTTATTAATATTTTTTTCATATAGTTTAAGATATATTTTTTTAGTCTTTATATTTATATTTTTCAATCCTTTTTAATATTTATAGTTAATTTTTTTTAATATCATTTCTTTTGTATTGACAAATTCAACATCTTCAATTTTGTGACGGAAAAAAGTATCGTCTCACGAATGAGAAAAAAAAAAGGATATAAAATAACGAAAAATTAAAGGAAAATTTTAACAAAATACATTCTATGTCAAAAATACAAAATTATATACTATTACATCAATGTAAAAATGATAAAGTTACAACAAAATTAATGATAAAGACAAAACATTAAAAAAAATGTAAGTATAGAAACTAAAAAATTTTATTTTAAGATTAAAAGGTAAAATAAATAAAAATATATGAAGTAAAAAATATTTTAACTTTTAAGTTTACGATGTGTAGATTGTATATATTAGAGTATTAGAGTATTAAACAAAGGATTATTTTTAAAGGTCTTACTCCTATATTACTTGGTTAAGGTTTTTAATTTCAAGTGTATATGTATTAAATTTTGTTATGAACATTCAAGCAAACTAGTAGAAATATGATTTTGTGCGCTTGAAATCGGGCAAGTGGGTCTAACTCTAACTCAATAAGTGTATGACCAATACTTTCTCTTGGTCTGTCAATAATAAATGCTTGTTTGTATTTCATCTATATCTGAATCTTTGATATGTGGAGCAGATTTATATAATAAAAATCTGCTACTATGCAAGCGTATAACTGTATATTTAATTACAAACCATGGGGATCTATAAAATTAAGTTGTGTAAACTTGTTAATGGGAATGAAATTTAACTTGTGCAGGACATTGATTGAGGACATAAGGAGTCTGAGATTGATAACTGCTGTTAAAACTCCATACCTGCCTAATGGCCAATTTGATCTTGAAGCGTAAGATAACTTGGTGGATATGCAGATTGCAAATGGCGCTGACGGTGTTCTTGTTGATGGATCAACCGGTGAAGGCCAATCAATGACATGGGAAGAACAAATAATGCTCATTGCACACAGTCAACTGTTTTGGTGACAAAGTTAAGATTGTTGGTAATGCAGTAAACAACTGCACATTAGAGGCAATTAAGGCCTCTGAGAGGGGTTTTGCTGTTGGAATGAATGCTGCATTTCACATCAACCCTTAGTATGGCAAAACCTCATTGGATGGAATTTGGTTGCTCACTACAATAGTGTCCTAGATATTTTCTTCATCATATGCAATATACTGTTATGATGAAGAAAATATCTAGGACCATTAATATACACGTGGCAGCTGATTCGAGAAAAGGGAGGACATTACAATATACTGCATTTTAGGGACTGATTGAAGATGGGTATTTGAAGGGGAAAAAAACAAGAGGGCGACAAATACTGAGATGATTTCTTCTCTGCACTGTGTCTCTTTCTCTTTTGAATATTCTTGTTTAATTTTCTATGAGATCATGTAACTATTTTGTCATTAATGAAACTTACTTTGTGGTATTGTTCTAGCCATCAAGTGCAATTTCTACAATGCTGAGTACAAATTGCTGTCGTACAATTTCTTTTACACAATTTTATATTTTGTTGTTACTGAGATATTGTTGAATACTACAAATTGTTGTGATACAATTTCTTTTTCACAATTTTATATTTTGTTGTTATTGAGATAATTTTAGAAAACATTTCATATACCAACAATGACTAATCAAGATATTCCTCCTAGTGTGGTTAGAATCTTAGGTCAAAGTCCTAACTTGTTGGTGTCAAGGAGTGTGTGGGGAATGACAGGATCAGAGTATGCAAGTGAAGGAATTGTTGTGTGGTGTGCAAATGATGAAGAATGGCATGATGCAAGATGGGATTGTGGTGTTGTTGGAGTTCAATATGTTGTGAGTAACTTGGTTCCTGGTTTGATGAGAGAACTCATGATTGGGGACGATAATCCTAAACTTAATGCAAAGCTCATGTCACTGTTTGATTGGCTTTACCTTTTCCTAGTTTGTGATAATCTTTCTTTTGGTTTCTGTATCTGTTGGGCCCGATTGTCCACCCGTTCTTCCACCATAGTATGATATTGTCCGCTTTGGGCCCAAGCCCGCACGGTTTTGTTTTTGGGCTCCCTCCCAAAAGGCCTCATACTATATGGAATGGTGGACACTTATAAACTAGCCAATGTTCCTTCATTTTACCGATGTGGGACTTGGGATGAATCCCAACAGTATCCATTGTAAACTTTGCCAAAGTTCAATAGCCCTACGGGATCCATAACCTTGTTTCATGTAATCTCAATAAAACAAGAATTGATTTCTGTACTGGATAGGGTCGAATGCCCTTCCCAAATAAGGTCGAGTGCCTTTAGAGGGGACGAACCGACGCCTAGTGTAGGGCCACATACACGATAGAATTAGGGATGAAAATAAACACGGATCCGAGTAATATCCGAACATGTTCCAACTTTAACAAGAAATATGACTTGAAAGGATATAGGTATCTTTAATACCCGATTTATTAAATCGATTAAAAGGACATGATGAGTATATTCTTATCTATTTTATATCTCTGATTGTCTTTATTTTCATTTTAAATTTTTAAAAACTTAATATATATTTTTTAAAATTTATTTGAGATTTAGGTAATTATTATTCTATTTTAAATTTATATCATATAAATTTTAATTAATGTAATTTTGTAATTATTATTTTATATAATTTTTTAATATTATTTTATAATAAAAATATTTAATTAATTTTTAGATGAATATAATGATGTGACAGAAATTTCATATCTATCAAATATAAATATAAGATACGAAATTAAATAAAATATTAAAATCTGCACTCACTTTAAATACAACAAAATGAAACATTTTATACATCTCATTACCATCATTCAAATAAATGTCTTTATTATTTTATGGTGGTAATTAATGAATTGTAACATAATTATGGCATATAAGGACTTAATTATAAGGTACACAAATACTTGTATTGTTGTCACTCTCTAACTTAATTGTAGTGTCATTTCAGGTATCACACTCCTCTTAGACTAGTTAGAGCTTAAAACAAAGAAAAGAAAGGTTCTATTTTCGGCATAAAGTTGAAAGGTACCAAATTTTCGGTAGCTGCATTTGAAGATATTTTAGTATAAATTTGGAAGGGTTTTCCTTGAATGTTTTGAAAGAAAAAAATCGTGAATTAGAAGTTAGTGAAGGCATAAGTACTTTTTCTATAAATATTATTGGTTAAAAGTTTCACTTTGATACCTTCAAAAATTCACTGACCGATTTAAAAATTTTAGACAGTAACATATAAATTTGTAGAAATAAATATATAATTTCACATTTTTTTAAATATAAATATATATTATAATTCTTTTTTATAAAATTTTATATTTTAAAAATATTGAATGATTTTCTTATTTTTAAAATTTTTAAAATTATTTTTCTTTATTTTTCTATACTTTAATTCATCGTTATATTATTTCAAAATTTAAAATTTTCTGACATCTTTTTGATTATTTTTGCCCCTGGAACAAACAATGGGTTAACTAAAGTATTTAACCATTTTATTACACTGATCAGTGGTCAACGCTCGCAATCTCTCCGTTGTTTTCTAATTCTAAGCGAAACCGTTGTTGGAAACTTGAATCGATTGGGATCCTGGTCTCAATTCTTATTCGGATTTCATAGCCATGTTCAACAACTATTGTAGTAGTACCATGTTGTTCACAGGACCCTCTTCACTGTTTTTCCGCCCCATTACCACCACTTCCAACAACAGGTAAACTAAACACTATTATTCCTATTATCTTAATCCAAATTAAATAAATGACCACTTTGTTTCTCATGATTTTTTCTTTTCTATATTGATTCATCTGTAGCGACTTTAGTTCTGACTTCGGTCTATGTAATATGTGCATATATGTTGTTTCATTTGTATCTCATGAACAAAGAAGAAAAAAAGAAGACTAAAATTAAATAATTCGCAGGTTTTTAATGAAATTAAAATTTAGCAGACATAAGATTACCATAAACTGGGAGTTACCTTTAGAACTTGGTGCATATTTGGTTCAGTCTATTTTGGAGAAATAATCATTTATTTATATCAGCTTAATGAGAGACGATTTGAAAAATAAGAAATTCTGTTTTGGAAAATTAATCTTTTCCAAACATGTGCAGTAAAAAGATACCAAATTTTGTGGTCATTGATCAAAATTTTAGTTAGTTTAATCACTCAAGTTTTCTTTGTATGGATCCCAGGAACACATACTGGAAGCCTACACAAGTAGCTTCAAGAAATGATTTTCGCCTCCCAATGACTAGCTCAGCGGTAAAGAATAGGTGGATTTGAATGATGAATAATATTCTGTTCCGTACGGATTTGTTCTCCTTTAGATTGTGTATATTCCATTTGTCATCATTCCAATAAGTTATGTGTATTATGTGTATATATGTGTACTAGTTTGGATTTGAAACATTTATAATCTGTTCTCTGGGTAAAATTTCTGGAAGAGTTTCAGAAATTGATTTTCTAATCTACCTTGTGACACAAGCTTCTGGAGATTTTTGTTTGGATGTATGCACAAGGCTTATGTTTCATCTAGATATGTATTTTTGATCTGCAATGCAAACAGTTTTCTAGTAAGTTATATAATACAAATCTGCTACTGGGCATGTATGTTCTAATTTTTAAGGAATGTGTTAAACAAAATCAAAGTGTGTACATCATAAATTTTTAAGCTTCATGATTTGGCTGGTTTTTGTTGACAAATCTGGGCTGGCTAACCAATTTTTTACAATATCATGTTCATAAACATCCCATGATATACAAATTAAGCTTTGTACAAACTTTTTCATGGAAATAAATTTCATACGTACTTTATTTGCAGGACAATTTTTTACAATATCATGTTCATAAACATCCCATGATATACAAATTAAGCTTTGTACAAACTTTTTCATGGAAATAAATTTCATACGTACTTTATTTGCAGGACAATTTTTTACAATATCATGTTCATAAACATCCCATGATATACAAATTAAGCTTTGTACAAACTTTTTCATGGAAATAAATTTCATACGTACTTTATTTGCAGGACAATTTTTTACAATATCATGTTCATAAACATCCCATGATATACAAATTAAGCTTTGTACAAACTTTTTCATGGAAATAAATTTCATACGTACTTTATTTGCAGGACAATTTTTTACAATATCATGTTCATAAACATCCCATGATATACAAATTAAGCTTTGTACAAACTTTTTCATGGAAATAAATTTCATACGTACTTTATTTGCAGGACATCAATTGAGGACATAAAGAGTCTGCGATTGATAACTGCGGTTAAAACTCCATACCTACCTAATGGCCAATTTGATCTTGATGCATATGATAACTTGGTGAATATGCAAATTGCACATGGCATTGAAGGCATTCTTGTTGCTGGTTCAACTGGTGAAGGCCAACTAATGACCTGGGATGATCAAATAATGCTAATTGCTCACACAGTTAACTGTTTTGGTGACAAAGTTAAGATTATTGGTAATGCAGGAAGCAACTGCACATCAGAGGCAATTAAGGCCACTGAAAGGGGTTTTGCTGTTGGAATGAATGCTGCACTTCACATAAACCCTTACTATGGCAAAACCTCATTGGATGGTTTGGTTGCTCACTACAATAGTGTGCTTTCCATTGGCCCCATCATCATATACAATATACCAACAAGGACTAATCAAGATATTCCTCCTAGTGTAGTTAGAATCTTGGCTCAAAGTCCTAACTTGGTCGGTGTGAAGGAGTGTGTGGGGAATGACAGGATCAAAGAGTACACAAGTGAAGGAATTGTTGTGTGGACAGGAATTGATAAAATGAGCCATGATGCTAGATGGTGTTGTGGGGCTGTTGGTGTTCAATCTGTTGCTGCCAACTTGGTTCCTGGTTTAATGAGAGAGCTCATGTTTGAGGGCAAGAATGTTGCTCTGAATTCAAAGGTGATTCCTCTGTTTGATTGGCTTTCTCAAGAGCCTTCGCCTATTGCTTTGAACACTGCTCTTGCTCAACTTGGAGTCATCAAACCAGTTTTCAGGCTACCCCATGTGCCACTCCCTGTGGACAAAAGGATAGAGTTTGTCAATTTGGTGGAGCAAATGGGACGAGAGCATTTTGTTGGAGAAAAAGATGTTCAAGTTCTTGATGATGATGACTTTATCATAGTTGGTCGATATTATACTTATTAGTGTGGATTAGCTTCTTGAATTCTTATTTTAAGTTACACTTACTGTTGTCTTTTGAAGTTGAAAAGCCAGATTATGTACCAAAGAGTCAGTTCAAGTAAAAGCAAAATAAGATTTGGTTTTGGTTTCTCTTCGGTCACTATTTGTAGTGGGAAACTGGTTCAAAATTCCATCAGCTTATGGATTTTGTTTGAACCTTGTTTGAATATTGGCAATAATGTACTATTTAGACACAAACACTAGTGTAAGTATGTTTGGATATAAACTTATAAACACTTTTGTTAGTTTTTTTTTATTGAAAATTACTCTTTATTTTTAGTAGAGAATTAAAATTCTCAAAAACACTTTTATTTTGTATTTAAACAGATTCTAAATACAAAAATTAGAACTTTGATGATAAAGCTTGAAAGTTAAAAGTGAGAGATTGATGACTAAGTTATGTTATTTTCTTTTTCTTTGGTGAAATTTTACAGGGAAAATATTTTTTTTTTCTTTTCCTATGAGTGCATATAGAGAATTTTATAAATAATTAAGCTTTTAAAACAAACTAATTTTAGTTTTAAAAAATTATTCAATTTCTTTTATAGGTATTTACCGATAAGTTTATCCAAACCATGCGTTGCAACATTCAAATCTAACACATACCACGACTATTTTGGATAGTAAATCTCTGGTTATGTTATAATGTTGATCGTGTTTTTACTTTTGTGAACGCGAATCATAATTTGGCACTTTCTATTATTGTCATTACATATTTTTGGATATTGAAATTAGGCAGCGTTTGGATTAATTTGCGTACCTCCACTAGTATAATTTCTTTAATTAATTCAATCAAAGGCCTATTTATATATTATTTACCCTTGTCTGCAGGTATATATGTTACCAAGAGATATTAAAAGAGATGTTCTTTATCGCCACGAATTATATATAAATTGGTATATATGGCCGCCATTTCAGAATGTAAATGTTTATGTCAATAAAGGATGCTCGTAACACATTTTATTCTTTGGTAAATTTCATATAAAGTTTATTAAATAATAAATTGTAAACAAATTATTTAATAGCTCTGAAGTAATTCAACTATTGATGACGCAAATACGTCGAAAGAATATATCAGTGTGTTGACATCTCTTACTAATATATCACATGTTTTGACAATTAGCAATTACTAAGCCTGCTCAAGTGGTTGTCATTGGATCTTAATCAAAAAAGTCGAAACTTATGATTATCCTTGTACTGATTTTTATAACTATATGTTAACTTGAAAATTTGTTAGGGACACTAATTTAGTTGAAAATATTTTACTTTCCCTTTTCCACATTACAAAAAAGATTATATATAATAATATATAAAAAGTGTGACTATAAATATAATATATATAAATATATAAATCTATTTTACATATAATTGCACATAATTTTAATATTAATTTTAAATAAGATTTAAAAGGAAAGGCATGATATATATATTATAATAAGCCATATAATATGTTGACATCAAGAAATCTAACAGGGATTGACAAAATAAAACTAATATATAGTAACATTGCTCAGTACTATGTTTCTTGTAGTGGTTTACAATTAAACTCTTGCAAGACATTTAAGTTTAGTAACATAATACTGAGGAACAAATGATACAAAAGAAATACATCTAAGATTCAGGGTTCCGCATAAAGAAGGATCAATTACAAACCCTTCAAATTTTCCTAGTTTTTGGCCTTAACAAAATTAAGTGTATATATTAGCTAGCTAATTATAGCTATTAATTGGTTTTGCTGTTATTTTGTTCAGAAAACTTCTTTTGGAGTTGAAGCAAGAGGGCCTGATTCTCTTTGTGAAGAAGCACTGCTTGCTTCCTCAACTTCTCATTCTCCTCTATGATGCTTTGGTTCTCCATATACAACTTCAAGTTTCTCATCTTGATTTCTGTCTTCAACACAATCATCTTTTTCCTCCTTGCTTCTTGCAATTGCGCTCTCCTTCTGAATTAATATCCAAACAATGATCAATATAGTATATCACACTCACAAAACTAAGAATTTAATTTTGTTAAACCACATATAGAACCAATTAACTTCTCTTACTATCATTATATTATACCAAATTACATATGTTTAACTATCCCAATAATTTGAATGTGTAATCCTATGTCAATATTGATGTCAGTGTAAAATATTTTCCATCATCAAATTAATTATACTTGAAAAGAAAAGAATGGATCCTCTTTGTTTAATTTGAGTCTTTATACGACATTATTGTTGTATTTGTTTTTTTGTCTTCTTAATTAGTGAGATGATATTAAAAATTAAGCATGTTTATAAAGAAAAAGAGAAAAATACAAAATTTGCATGTGAAATTTTAAAGTGAAAGAGGATTCATTCCCCGAAAAGAAAACATGTACACACACAAATCTGGAAGAGACAAGAAAGATAAACAAAAGGATATGATTGAAACTATAATATAAAAGAACCTTTTATGGAGGCTCAAGCGAAGGTGCTGGTGCTGTCTCTTGGAGGGCCATGGACTACGGTGAAGGGCAAAAGCAAGAGGAGCATATGGTGGTTGTTCTGAAGAAAAAGAACACATATTGGGGTCTCTCAAAGAAGCTGGCAACAAACACTTAAGGTTTATTATAATCGAAATTAAATGAGACACTCTTTTAAGTTTTGAAAGTGAGGCGCAACCATTAGGCTTGAAGGGGTTTATATAGCCACAGAAGTGAGAAACTAAGGGGTAAAGAAAAATGATATAGCTATGAATTTGTGTTTGTATATATTGTCCAAGAGATAACCAATTTGGTTCAGTTGGTAGATAAACAAGTTTCTTAAGTATATAAACAGAAGTCCAACTTTTTAATTATATGTATGAAAAAAAAACTTTATTAAGAGAAACAAAACTCATTTTGTTGATATAACATAATGTTTTGACAAGAATTAGTCTTCTACTATTGATTGGATGACATTTTGTACAACATGTCAATGAGAGAGAGAGAGAGAGAGAGGGGTTTTGATAGCAATGATGAAAGAAGGGCTCATGATTACAAAGGGCAGCAATAGATGAGGAAGGCAGAAAAGGGGGCGGGAGGTGGAGAAGAAAAACGCTTCTCTTCTTTAATTTTCTTGCCCTCTTTGATTGCCTAGTTAGTCTATCAAACTCAAACTTGGGTAGTGGGTAACGTAGAGATGAGGAGCGGACACAAACGAAGTACTGCATTACTCTACCCAACTTTTTTTTTTTTTAATAGAATATATATTTTTATCATAATTGAAACTTATTGATTTTTAAAATTAAATTATTAAAAACAATGAAGTGAGGTAGATTTTGTTGATACCACGTACCCTGGAGTATATTAAAGTTAAGATGCACTTTTGTTGGAATTTTAGAACTTTCCCCTTCGGTTCCAAGACCGTTTAGGTCCTCACTGTTAGCGTGGGATCTTCAAACTTGAAAGAGGAAATAGTCATAAAGTCACGTGGGGTGTTATGAAATTGCTGTGATAATTATGGTAGAAGACAATTTTGACATGATATTCAACGTGCCAACCTGCATTTACTTCTGTTCATTTAGAATGGGCCATTGCATGGTTGCTTATAGTCTCGATATAAAGTTATTGCTACACCAGCCGAGTGTCTGCATGCCTACTGTTTTCAGCCACTCCCAAATAGTAGAACTGCCACACAAAGAATTATGTAAAGAAAATATATGTATTTTGCTGTCATATTTACGATTACAAATCTCTCTTAGAGAACATGATTAACCATACTGAAGTCTCATGTTGCAATAATTTTTTCTTCCGTAATATTTGAATTTGATATTTTGTTTAAGATATTTGAATTTACTTCAAATTAAAGTAATGTTAGTAAGGACAAGATGTGTTTGTTTCATAGTTATATAAATCTTCAAAGATTGTGGGTAAAAGCTAATTCAGTTTTTCTTATGAACCATTAATTTTTCCTTTTTGAAATGAAACAATGTTTTATTGGATAGACTCTTTGCTCTGATTAACTAGTAATAGCTTCTGGTGTCTTCTACAGTTATTCTCTGAAGGCCTTGTATGATTTTGAGATTCCTAGGAAATTTAAGTTACAAAACAATTGAAAAAATCCTATTAAAAATTTCATTGTTTGTTCTCAAAGTGAAGTTCATGTTTGGTGATGAATGATGAGCATTTTTATTATTTTTTTAAAATAAATCTTTAAGGTTCGTTTTAATTAAAAGGTTTTTAATTACAAAGAAAATTGATTAATTAACATATTTCCATATGAATTAATTGATTTCTATTATCTTGATTCGGTGCACGTGTGGCTGCTATATATGTTGTACCCTAACATGTCAATGATGTAACTTTGTGTTTAGTACATGTCTTTGTTCTCTATTGTCTTGAGTAGCCAAATAAATAGATGAAATGTGTTCACATTAGTGAGCAGCTGAGCATATATATTAGTGCATTACACTGAATATATGTCTCGTTAAGAATGTTTTAATTCGATCTGGTTTTTATAACAGTTTTTATATTTTTCTCTTATTTAGATTTTTGCTCCCTACTAAAATATTAGTTTCTGACGGCCTAATGTCTAAATGAAAATGAGTTAGTTAATTATATTGTCCAATTTTCGAATAACTAAGGACCAATAGTCGTCCAAAATTGTGTGAAATTAAATATAGGGAAGAATTGTTAACCAATAAAAAAAGTAGCATTATATGGTCAAAGCAATAATATCTAGTGAAAGAAAATTTACAAACAATAAACTTTTATCATTGAATTTTATATAAACGGTTAAAATTATATTTTGCTTAAATGTCACGTGACAGAAAAGATCACGTAATTACATAAAGTTAATTTATTTTCATGTTATACTTTTAATCAATTATATAAGATTGTTAAAATTGAATATATTTGCACTTACAGTATTTCTTTCGCCGGATATTTCCTCATCGTGAAGTTAAAATTTATTTTGTGCTCTAAACACGTAAGAGAGATGTTAATTTTGTGTGGAATTCAAATGCAACTTAATTTTTTCCCTTTTCCTTTTCATATCATGCAAACTTTAAATGTTATAGTTTTCTCTTAGTTCCAGTAATGAAAATTCAAAAGACTAGTACTGTCATTAAGATTAATCATTGCTTAATTTGAAAACGTAACCCAAAGGGACTTATATTTTCTAGTGTATATATATATATATATACTCGACATGACTGGATTAACACGCATACATATTAAATTTTTCTTTTTGGTTAGCTCATACTATTTATTAAGTGTTGGAGGCTACCAATTAATTATATACCCTTTTACACTACATTATTGTATTTTTTAATAATAACCAAATTTGAGTATGCTATGTCAAAGCCTCCCCTATCTAGTCCAAACTTCGAAAGAAGAGTCACATGGAGCTGCACGTGAAAGTCACATGTGAATAAGATGAAGCCAATTGAAAATGAGTGCAGTAGATATTTATCCAAAAATTAAAAAAAAAAATGAGTGTAGTATTGGAAGATAGGGTACACAGTAATGAAGATGAAAGGGGTAGTAGTCAATGTGGTTAGGTCCCTTTTGTTGTCCCTTTTCTTCATGTAATTGAGTACCAAAGCCATACTCATTTATTTAGAAAATGAACCCCATTTTGGCTTCATCTTCTTCTCCATCATTATGACCACTGGGTGTGCGGTTTTTGTTTATATCATTATGCTATATGTATAGTGGGAGCTAGTATATATCTTGGTCCAACTTCGGCATACCCACTTCACATGTTCCCTTCAACTTGTAAATTAGAAAAAAATTATAAATAAATAAAAAAAAAACCTTGGTATATAAGTTCACAATATAAATTAGATCAACTGTTTTTCTAATGTATTTTACATTTGAAAGTTGATGTTTAACAAGCATGATGGTGAAAAAGGATGAATTAAGTTTGTGTGTAAGTGCATTATTAAAATAATTCGGCTAAGGATGCATGCAACATATATAGGTAATGTGGAGATTGTAGTTGGGAAAGCGAAGTGTCATACTAGGGCAAAACGCGTGGGCCGTTACCTTGAGCTTAAATTTAGGGAGTCCTTTCCAGTTAGTATAGAGCTATAAAGGCAAAGCAGTGCAAAAGTAAATGGAGTAGTTTATATAATTATGACTTCATATTCTTTTTCATAATGTTATGTTATGCTATGTTACGTGTACTATACGTATAAATTAAAAATATCTATTGTATGTATAATTATTGAAAGCGTTGATAAACTGCTGAGTTTTTCTTCTAACTTAACTAATAATCAATTATTAGAAGAAAAAAAGTTGAGTTACGTTAAATATTCAAAATAAGAATTTTAATCCCATTTAATTTAAATATGATTATTTCTTATAAAAAAAATTGTAATCTATACTGATACAGTGATAATAACAATGAATATTTATATATATAGTAATAACAATAATAATATTGGTAGTAATAGCGATGACTACCACTATTATTATTATCATTATTGACAACAAAAGCAATGATGATATGACAGTGGTGCAGTAGTGGTGATGACAATGATGATAAAAAAAAAGAACATTGATTATAGTATGTGATATAGTTAATTTATTTGTAAGTTTATAATTTAAATTATTTTTTTAATTATGATATTGGTATGAAACATTCACCGTTGAATGTAATGACTAATCTTCGTTGAAGACCACACGCAAGGTGGTCATTCCTCTCCCAACATGATTTATTTTATACCCAAGTCCAAGATTCAAGTTTTGGACATCTTGTTTGACACAAGTTGTGTCAACCAATGTTAAGAAACTATTTATTTTAATTTAAGAGTTATTATTAATTATTTTCATAATTTTATATAATTGTTTCCTTGGCAGAAACAATCCTTAATTAGGTTTTATTTATCTCTTTATCAAATGAGATTAGTCTAAAGCAAAGCCTTAGAACACAAATGCGGAACCAAAAAAATATAAGCAATTGTTTTTACTTGAGTTACTTATATATACATATATATATATATATATATATATATATACATATATATATATATATATACATATATACATATATATACACACACACACATACACACTCAACATGCTCATTTTCATCTAGTGTGAAACTTATCATTCACGTTGTACACCAATAATCTCACATTCAAGTGTAAGTACTTTTCACATTGTTTTCTCCACTTTAAGCAAAAGTTTTTTTTACATCCATAAGTATTCAACAGTGGCCTTAGAGCTTAACCATCATTGCCAATCTACTCTAGATTTTTCATCGCCTTTAAGCCTCTAAAGCTTAATAATTACACCAATTCATTCTAAATATTTACATTGTCATTAGGCCCCTAATTATGGGTTGCTTAGACTAGCTCAATAAGTCAAACTCAATTAGCCAACTCTACTCGTTATTATGATAAACAAACATTTTATTAATTGACCAACTATATTAAAAATATAATTATCGTAATATTTCGTCTCACTAATCAAACAACTATATTAGAAATATTATTATCATGATGTTTCCTTTCATTAGTTAACCTACTATATATTATATTAAGAATATTGTCACCATATAATAGTTTATTAATAGAAATTTGTTTTTTTTTTTTTTTTATTTTATTTTTTTTTTTTTTAATGTAATGTACATAATTAAGTAGATTCCCATTGAAGATGGGTTCTTGAATCCCTCATGATGTCCTTTTGAAGAAGGAAGGTTAAGCCATTCGATGAGGGGAAGGACCACTATCCTTCACTCATTTCTTGTATTACTACCGCCAAAATACTAGCACTACGGGGAGATATGAAGATGATGGTAGTCAACTATGATATCAAAATCCCCCCATATTTTCAAGATGGTTCTATAGTCTATATTTCTCCTGTATAATT